ATTGCTTGAACCTGGAAGGCGGAAGTTGCAGTGAGCTGAGATTGCACCACTGCACTCCAGCCTGAGCAACAAGATAGAAACTCCATCTCAAAAAAAAAAAAAAAAAGAAAGAAAGAAAGAAAGAAAAAAGAAATCCAGCCAGGTGCTGTGGCTCACGCCTATAATCCCAGCACTTTGAGAGGCTGAGACAGGCAGATCACCTGAGGTCAGCAGTTTGAGACCAGCCTGACCAACATGGTGAAACCCCCTCTCTACTAAAAATGCAAAAATTAGCCAGGCATGGTGGCACATGCCTGTAATCCCAGCTACCCGGGAGGCTGAGGCAGGAAAATCGCTTTAACCTAGGGGGCAGAGGTTACAGTGAGCCAAGATCACGCCATTGCACTCCAACCTGGTGACAGAGCAAGATTCCGTCACAGACAGACACACACACACACACACACACACACACACACACACACACACAGATCCTGGGAGTCTAGAGAGTCAGGGGGAAACTTACTTTAAGGAGGTTCAAACCTCTTCTTCAAGAGCAGGTGGGATTTGGGAGAGAGAGAGGTCATTAGAGGCAGAGGAAAGAGCCCAGTGAAATGCCCAAGGTCAAGGACATGTATAGAGCATGCAGTGTGGCTCATGGTCTGCCTCACTACAGGGAAAACACCCACCATGCCCACCTCTCACTGTGCTCTCCCAACAGGAGAAGACCCTGGCTTCCTTCAGCCCCCAGTGGAGCCTAGATCGGTGAGGAGGCCCCAAAGCCTTTGCCAGTGGGGCTGTCTGGATGACCCTCTCCATCCTCCCTGGGGGTCTGCTCCTGCTTTGCCCAGATGCTCTGAGAGTCTCTGTGGTGATGTACTTGGCTCTCACTGCTGTGCAGGAGCCGTACCCTCCGTGGACTAGATGATGAACTGGACACCGGGGATGCCAAGTTCTTCCAGGTCATTGAGCAGCTCAACTCACAGAAGTACGGAGAACAAAGAGGGCTGGGAGGGCCACAGGCCCTGAGGTCGTGTAGTGGAGAAGGGATGGTGCTCCCTGAGGGACTGGAAGGAAGACTCACCTGACCACCCGCTCTTGCCCTCACTCTGCCCTCTTCCTGCCCTTCTCTGCCCTCTTCCTGCCCTTCTCTGCCCTCTGCTCTCTGGGGCTTTCACCCACCCTCCCACCTCCCACCAGACAGTGGAAGCAGTCGAAGGACTTCAACCCACTGACACTGTACTTCAGAGAGAAGGAGATGGAGAAAGAGGTGAGCTGTGGAGTGGATGGCACCAAACGACTTCCCAACTTTAGTTCCTTGGCGCTGGGGAGGGGTCAGCCCTTGGGTCTCCTCCCCAGGTCTGCTCAGTTTGTGATCCTAGGGGTGAGGAGCTTGTGCCTCTCTCTAAAGGAAAGTCACTCTGTAGACTGAGCTACTGGATGGTAGAGGGAGGAAGGAGGGTAGCTCCTTGGAGAACTGGTAGGGTCTACATGGAACTGAACTGGAGCCTTGGCGGTGAGGCTGAGGAGCCCACCCATTGCCCGGGAGTGATGCCTTCAAGGTGATGGGCAGCACGGGACCCTGTCTCTACCTCCGGCCCCCTCACTTTCAGTACCGACTCTCTGCAATCCCCGCCTTCAAATACTATGAAGCCTGCACCTTCCTGGTTTTTCTCTCCAACTTCATCATCCAGATGCTAGTGACAAACAGGTGAGAGTGCCCCAGGCGAAGGAGGCCCTGGCTGTCACAAGCGGATCACCTTGCCCTCATGACCCCTGGCCACACTTTCTTCATTTACCTCTTCCCCTTAGCTTCAGGCACTTACCCACAGAGGAAATGGGTTTTCTGGGAAAAATGATAATCGCAGCCCTTATCTTAATCTTGTACATCCTGTGGACTTTCTACACAGCCCTAGCATTTTCCCATGAGCGTCTCTTTTGGTGCTAACAACATCTCCATGAAGGCGGGTTTGTTTCCATTGAGAAACCCAAATCTGGCAGCAAATGTGTGAGCTTAGAAAGTAGATCCTCGCCAAGCGCGGTGGCTCAAGCCTGTAATCCCAGCACTTTGGGAGGCCGAGACGGGTGGATCACGAGGTCAGGAGATCGAGAC